AAGCAGGAGACCCTACACCATTTCTGACAGATGGCAGTCCAATCTCTTCTTGAAAGTCTCAAGTGATGATGCTCCCACAACTTCCGAGGGCAAGCTGTTCCATTGGTTGATTGTTCTCACTGTCAGAAAGTTTCTCCTTATTTCCAGGTTGAATCTCTCCTTGTTCAGTTTCCATCCATTATTCCTTGTCTGGCCTACAGAAGCTTCAGAAAATAGCTTGACCCCTTCCTCCCTGTGGCAGCCCCTCAAATATTGGAAGACTGCTATCATGTCTCCCCTGGTCCTTCTCTTTACTAGACTAGCCATGCCCAGTTCCTGTAACCGTTTTTCTTCGTATGTTTTAGCTTCCAGTCCCCTAATCATCCTGGTTGCTCTTCTCTGCACTTTTTCTAGAGCCTCATGCCTGTCTTCAACTTCAGCTAGAGCAAAGCACTGAGATGTGCACAGGATCCCCATCATTCAAAATCAGGTTGTCAGATGGATTAGGGTCAAGTTACATTGAGCTGTTTATTATAGAAAGGTTTAACAAAGCTAACTGATGAAGGTCCTAGATAAATAGAGTTCTTGGCCGGCAGGTGGCACCAAACACATTAGTGCTGAGAACTGGTAGGAACCCTTGAGCATTGTAAAGAAAATGTGTCCAATGAACCTAGTTCAGCTTCTCATTCCAGATGTAATATCAGACATTTAAAAGTCCGTTGATATGAAAGCTCACATCCAACTTCAGCGCAGCATTTAATATTGTATTATGCTTCCAAAATCTACTAGTGTACACAAAGCCCATCCATACCATGTTTGCATGTGTTTTTCAGTCTGTGTGTAGTACTTTTCAGTATGTCAGCATATACCTGGTGCTGGTTCATTAATCTTCATGTTCCAGATATATTTATTTATTTATTTTATTTATTTGATTTGCCAATTGTTTACAAGATAATAAATATAAGTGTATACATAGTTGTGAATACATGAAATGGGTACATATAAGAAAAATAAAAGAATAAGAGAAACAATAGGACAGGGACGGTAGGCACGTTGGTGCGCTTATGCACGCCCCCTACAGACCTCTTAGGAAAGGGGTGAGGTCAATAGTAGACAGTCTAAGGTTAAAGTTTTTGGGGTTTGGGGAAGAAACTACAGAGTCGGGTAGAGTATTCCAGACATTGACCACTCTATTGCTGAAGTCGTATTTCCTGCAATCAAGTTTGGTGCGGTTTACTTTGAGTTTGTATCTATTGTGTGCTCTTGTGTTGTTATGGTTGAAGCTGAAGTATTCATTGACAGGTAGGACATTGCAATGTATGATTTTATATACCATGCTTAAGTCAGACCGAAGACGGCGTAATTCAAGGTTTTCTAGTTCTAGAATTTCAAGTCTGGTGGCATAAGGTATTCTACAACGAGTAGAAGAGTGGAGAGCTCTTCTTGTGAAATATTTCTGGACTTTCTCAATTGTGCTAATATCAGATACGTAATGTGGGTTCCAGACTGATGAACTGTATTCGAGTATTGGTCTAGCAAATGTTTTGTATGCTCTGGTTAGTAGTGTGATATTACCAGAGAAAAAGCTACGTAGGATTAGGTTAACAACTCTTAATGCCTTTTTGGCTATGTAGTTGCAATGGGCTCTAGCACTTAGATCATTAGAGGTGAGTATTCCAAGGTCCTTTACAGAGCTTGGGTCATCAACAAGATCTTGACTATTCAGATATATATAGTAGATTGTGTTTGGCATTCCAAGGCTTGGGGCCTTTCTGAACTGAAGAACATATGAATTGAGGAGAGAAATATTCTTTCTGGTGCAGGCTTTGTTTCAGTTATCATCTAGAGTTTTCTTCTTGTACATTTCTACACCCTGATTGTGAGACTGCAGACTTGTGTCCCTGATGAGTGCAACACTAATTAGGTTAGCCAGAGGAAGCCCCTTAAAAGGTACATCCACTTGCTGAGGTATGTCTCAGAACTTCGGCGAAGGGGGCCTTTTAATGTATCTTTCCCTCAAAATTTGCCTTGTTTCACATACTTTTTGTCTTGCAGGAAACAACCAAAACTCTTTTTTTTCTAGGCAAGGTCTTTTGAGTGTGGCTTTTTTATCCACTTGTAATTGTTTCACCCTTGGATTTATTTTTATTGTCATTTATTTTTACAACCTATGATTTGAAAGATATGCTAATGAGGATAGTGAAGTTATAGTAATAACTACATAGCAATAGCACTTAGACTTATATATCGCTTCACAGTGCTTTAGAGCCCTCTCTAAGCCGTTTACAGAGTCAGCCTATTTGCTCCAACAATCTGGGTCCTCATTTTACCCGCCTCAGAAGGCTGGAAGGCTGAGTCAACCTTGAGCCGTTCAGAATTGAACAGCCTGCATTCTAACCACTGCACCACCGTGGCGGCTCTATGCAATATTTTGATGGAAAGTTAACAAAAACTGGTGTTTTTTCCCCCAGTTAATTCAGTTAATTTCCCCAGATAGTTCCTTCTAGCAGTAAAGATGTCAGGATTTTGTAACCATTGGTCTCTAATATCTTTAAGGGGTTATGGTATACTTTAGTTCAACAGATGCCCCATAATTTATAAATATATTCTTTCTATTCTTTGCTATTAATCTTGGCTAAAATATGTGCCAAGAGCAGAAACTATATAACTTTGATCCTAAGTCACAAATTGAAATACCTTGGTTCAATGTCATGAACTTTCTTGCATATTTCAAGTCGTAATGAGCAGGGCATCCTATAAATATAATTGACTCATAACAGTTTGTTTAGTAACTGTTCAAAGTTACAACGGCACTGAAAAAAATGACTTATCATTTTTTACACGTATGACTGTTGCAGTCTCCCCATGATCATGTGATCAAAATTTGGATGGCAACTGATACTTATTTATTATATTTATATACTTGTTGGGCTGTGGTGATACAGTGGTTAGAGTGCAGTTCTGCAGGCTACTTCTGCTGATTACCAGCTGCCTGCAGTTTGGCAGATCGAATCCCACCAGGCTCAAGGTTGACTCAGCCTTCCATCCTTCTGAGGTGGGTAAACGAGGGCCCAGATTGCTGGGGGCAATAGGCTGACTCTGTAAACCGCTTAGAGAGGACTGTGAGGCACTGTGAAGCAGTATATAAATCTAAGAGCTATTGCTATTGCTATGATGGTTGCAGCGTCCTGGGGTATGTGATCACATTTTTGGACAAGCAAGTCAGTGGGAAAGCCAGATTCATTTAATAACTGTATTAATAACTTAACAACTGCAGTGATTCACTTAACAACTGTGGCAAGACAGGTCATAAAATGGGTCAAAATTCATTTAACAAATGTCTCATTGAGCAAGACAAATTTTGGGCTCGGTTGCAGGCCAAGGATTACCTGTATTGTATTGATAAGAAACAGGATTCACACAAAGAACTATTGTTTTTTTATCTTCCGTTCTGAAAGATCCATACCATTACATACACTAATTCAATTGCCAAATATGAAAAACACTGATCTACACTAACTTAGCCTCATTTTTCCATTCTCCCTACAAGAAAACAACAGCCTAGGTCAACCCTTCCTTCAACATTAGCCCCTGACCCCTCCCACCTACCTGCCTCGCTAAGCTAGTGAAAACGGCTTTATTGCATTTCATGGGAGACATGTGAGCATTTGCTCATGAGGCGTGCACGGGCATGTGCATTGTCTCTAACAAAAGTAGTCTCACCACTTGCTATTTCTCAATGGAGGCTGTTTGAAAGACTTCTGCCTTGGTTTTTCCTGTATTTTTCCACTCTGCTTTCTCAGAGCTCTTCTCATGCTGTTTTTGTAATTTCGTACAAGTACATTATGCCGGGGGGGGGGGGGGGAATCATGTCTCAAATGTAATACTTGATACTTTTGTAACTTCTTTATCATTTTATAAGACATGGTTAGTGCCTATTTGCTGAATTCTGATAGCACTGAGATGATAGGAAATTGAGCTCGCGGTGGTTTTGGATTGTCCTATAATGTACAAACCATAATATGACTTCATTGTCATATTACCTGTAAGACTCTAAGCTGGATTCTTTGTTCTTTCTCAAAATCTACACATTTGATGATATTGTGCATCTGCTTCAAGTGGTAAGAGAAAATACCTGCTCTCAAACATTTGCTTTATGCAATTTTTTTTTCTTATGTCTCAAATTTTAAGAATCAATTTGCAAATGGGTTCTTGGGTAGTTGCTGATTTGCTTCTGCTTCCTACTTGTCTCCATTACAAAGTCTACAAAACATTTCAGTGCTCTCAGCTAAAGTGTTAGCAAATCGGAATAGAAAATCTGACTATTTACTATCTAATTCACACTCTCTGGATTCTCACAGAATAAGGGGGCACTGGAACAAACCATCTAGAGCATTTTGCCCTGATATGTGATGTATCCACTGAGGAGGCCCACCTACGCCTAAGGCGTTGTCAGGGTGGAATCTTTTCACTGAGATTTTCCAGAGGAAATGTTTTAAAGTCCTTTATTTAACACACTCTTAGAATTGGAATTGGTTGGATTGCCAAATGACAGAAATGTACATCAAGATCGGTCTCTTCCACATCAACGTCCTCAAACTCGGTTCAGTTGTTTTTGATTCCAGGACAAAAAGAAATCCGTTTGCTTATATGGCATTGGAGAACATGATTGCTGGCATAGGAGCTACACAAATTCCAATTCCATGTTCATGATGATCCCCCTAGTCTGAGATAATGGGCAGATTTAGCTTCTTTCCATAGATATACCTGTATACTCATAGAATTGAAATGGACCCTGAAATTTTTTCTCTCTCTTTGTATGAGCTTGATCATTTATCAGCACAGTCCTCCTGAATCTGTGTAGCGTTTCTTTTGTCCATATTTGACTACGTTCGAACACCGGGACCTGGGTTGGACATAACAGATGGTACAGGAAGATGATGTTCACACTGAATAATTTCTGCATGCTTGCAGTCTCAAGACTTCTCCTTCCTGTTCCCTCCATCTTTTTTATCCTGCAGGGATTATTGAAGATTATAAACCTCCTTTCTTCGACTTGGTTCCAGTCGACCCCAGCTTTGAAGACATGAAAAAAGTGGTTTGCATTGACCAGCAGACACCCACCATTCCAAATCGGATGTTCTCTGACCCGGTGAGCGATGCAGTCTGTTAGAAAGATAACTTTTAGAGTTTTATTTTGTTATTTAACAGGAAGGGGTTCCTGTTGTTTCAAAAAGGATGCTTGTTGAGCTAGGATTGCTGTGTGGCCGTCAACTTCCAAGTAGGGGCAGGAACAAAAAAGGCATCTTGTACCATGCCAGCATAGGAATCAAGCTTCCCAGCTAGATCTGTTGAACAGTTTGGGGAGATAGAGGCCCCTTCCATGCAGGAGTGAAGGGAAGCTATGCCCCTATCCCAATGATGTCATGTATCTTCTAGCTATCTTGGAAAGATGAGATGATTTACCCCATCAGCTAATTCCCTTCTTCTCTGAAAGAGCTGCTCTGATTATTATGTTTAGCACCTGCACCAAAGCAGTGTTCTGTAGCCCAAGCAAGTTTAAAATGCGTAGACTTCAACTCCCAGAATTCCTCAGCCAACATGCCGACTGGGGGATTCTGGGAGTTGGAAATCCACACATTTTAAAATTGTCAAGGTTGAGAAACGTTGCTCTACAGCTGCATTTCCCTACAAGGATTCCCACTCTCGCTATACAAGGGCTGCCGTGCCTTGGTGTTCTTCCCCTAGGAAAATTCCAGGCTGCCCTATCACGTTCTGGCCCTGTTGGGATACTTAACCATTTAATTTATTTATTAATCACATTTGTGTGGCAACCTAGCTCACAAAAAGTGACTTTTGACAGTCTACAACATGGATGTCAAGCTTGTGATATCACATTGTGGTCATGTCACATATTGTGACTTTTTCCCCCTTCGCTAAACTGGTGGTAGGTGTGGCCAGGGTGTGACGCATCCAACTCACAGGCCACAGATTTGACACCCTTAGTCTATAACAATCAACAAAATAGGAAATATTTTTAAAAACAATCATTATAAAAATATCAAAAGTCATTATTTTAAAAAAAAACCACTATAAAAGTTAAATATACAAACCATACAAAGTGAGTAAAAAAAAAATCAATCATGGTGGAGACATCTAGGAATATTTCCAATTCCCTCATGTTTTACTTACTGTGGACAGAAATGAGGATTGAGACTATTAGAGCATCAGTTGTTTCCCTTTCTTTAAGCTATCTCATCGTCTGCATGGGAGACTGCTTTATAAGGTTCTTTCAAAAATTATGAGGTGGATTTGAGAGGCAAACACTCTGCAGGGCAACATCTGAAGAAATAATATTTCTGGCCGTTCAGATTGCCAGTCTTCCACTTGAAGATTTATCATATAGCTTGGGGTCTCCTAGTTAGTCAGAAGACACAGGGCCCATATGTCTCTTGTCCTTTCCAGTTCTCTATCCAACCATCATTTTCCATCTTTCCCAATTTTCTTTGTTACAATAACCAGTATTCTATGACTGTAGAGCATCTGTCCAAGATAGGGCTGAATGGATGAAGCAAGGAATAGGAAAGAAAATCCGTGATTTACTCTCTGGTATCAAGTCAGGCCAATGGCTGACTTGATACCTGGCAAATCTGCTGCAGGACCTACTTGACTTTTATAAGACAGGGAAGCACAGATTGTGTTATAAATTATGACTTCAGATCCCTGGGAGAGAATCTTGGCATTAGTTCAGGGAAAGAAAAAAGAAAAAAAAGAATGCAAAGATAAGACAAGCAGAAAAAATCGTGGGCAGCGGCTGCTGGAATCCCAGAAGCTAGAGGGAGTATGACCAAGGCCTTGGGTGGTCAGGAGATAAAATGCCTTAGAATAAACCATCCATGCAAACAAGTGGATGATAAGGCACTGTTTGTTGCTTTACAGACCACCAAATTGAAGATTCCTTCATGTAAACAAGGGTGTATGCCCCAATTAGCAATTGAATTTGAATGGGCCCATAATCTTAATTAAGCAAGGGATGAATGAAGGGCCAGAATCATTGAGTCTGAACACCTTTTCATTCCTTGGACAGCTCCATTCTCTACTTTATCCCATTAAGAAAGCTTTTATTTCTCATTCTCATTTTTCATGGCATTTTTTCCTTCACGAAGATCTAAATGGTAAATATGTCCCCTAAACCGAATTAGATAGTGAGATAGCAAATAGCTCAAGATCACTTGATGAGCTTCCTGACTGAGGTGGATTTCCTTGGGCCAACCATCTCTGTGGCTGATCCCACTAGGGCAGGGGTATCAAACTCACGGTGTCATAGAGGCATCACGTGATGTATCGTGACTTTTTCCCCCTTCGCTAAACTGGGGGCATGGCCAGCGCGTGATGCATCCACCCCACGGCCCGCGAGTTTGACACCCCTGAACTAGAGGGTTCAATAGTGTTTTTTCTATACAGGTAGTCTTCAACTTATGACCACAACTTAGCCCAACATTTCTATTGCTAAGTGAGTCAGTTGTTAAGTTAATTTTGCCCATTTTATGACCTGTTTTGACACAGTTGTTAAGTGAATCACTGCAGCAGTTAAGTTAGTAAAACCGTTGTTAAGTAAATCTGGCTTCCCCACTGCCTTTGCTTGTCAGAAGGTCACAAAAAGTGATCATATGGCCCTGGGACACTGGAACCATCGTAAATATGAGTCAGTTGCCAGGCATCTGAATTTTGATCACGTGACCATGGAGATGCTACAAAGGTCATTAAGTGTGAAAAACGGTCATAAGTCACTTTTTCAGTGTCGTCGTGACTTCAAACAGTCACTAAATGAACTGTTGTAAGTCAAGGACCACCTGTACTTTATCTGGAAAGGAGACAGTGGAAGACATAGATTGGAGTGAAGCATTCTGAATTATGAAACTCTTCTCAGACCCTCATGGCCAGGTACCAGAAGCCTTGAGACACAAATAATTTATCCTTAATACTAGAGCCATAAGGTAATGGCTTTAGCGTAGGTTAGCCAACATTGTACCATGCCCTCCTCATTATGTAACTTTTTCCTATAGCATGGGAAATTCTGTAATGTCATCACACAAGCTATATGCCGAGACAACACTTTTAGAGCCGACATTTGCGTGCTTGGTGAAGCAACAGAATAACTTTGCTGCACAACCCAGGAAGAAAAACAAATGCAAATAGTCCCAGCCATTTTCGCTGATCTTACTCTAAAGTTACAACAAATAGGGATGAAGTCATTCACCTTGTCCTTTGCCAAAGACTGAACGTTTCTAGTGTTGGAGTACCCATCACAAGATACACAAATACATTTATCTTGGCTAAATTATTGCAAGATACTTCACAAAGGCTGCCTTGGAAGACCACTCAGAAGCTTTGGCTGGTCCAAACTGGGACAATGCAAGCAGTTAAAGGCATACCATTGACTGATATAGCATAGAGAGTGGAGGCGTCTGCAGGTTCACCGTTGAAAAAAACCTGGATGCCTTTGCAGATTACCCATCCCTCTGGAGCAGGCACTTGTCAGCTAAGTTTTAACCCTTTTTAGTGCCTAAGTAGAACAGTTCCTTTACTTCTTTTGTCCATCTGTCTCCTGTGTCTGCTCATCTCTCTGTTTTGTTCCTCCCTTCTTCTTCGTTTCTTTCCCAGCTCAGCTACCCTTTTCTCTTTCCTTTCCTTGTTCTGTTTTTTTTTTAATTGTAGGGGTGGGTTTTTTGAAGAAAGGATGTGTCTGTGCACAAGCATATACAGTGACTATTTAAAGTTACAACAGCACTGAAAAATATGACTTATGGCAGTTTTCTACTCTTATGACCACTGCAGCCTCCCCATGGTCACGTGATCAAAATTTGGACACTTGACAACTGACTCATATTTATGACGGTTGCAGTGTCCCAGCCAGGGTCCTGTGATCACCTTTTGTGACCTTCTGACTGTTCTGACTAAGGCTTCTTGCGACACCAACAAACACATATAAAATCCAAAACTCTTTTATTTTAGTTCAATGGCTGTGAATTATCGTCATTCACAGCCCGGAATGAGTCTTAACCAGTTATCATTAGTCCCAGGGACGTCTGCCAAAGTTCTTCGTAAGACGTCAGATAAGAACGCACCTTATCTTACTTGAAGTGCTGCCAATGACTAAAGTCCCAATTAGTCTTTCCAAAACCAAACGGAGAACAAATTCACCACGGAGCTTTCAGAGTCCAAACCGATCAGAGCAAATGACTTTGCTTCCTGCAAAGGTTTTCCTACCTTTGCTCCTCCTTTATGTCTTATGGGAGGGGGCAATCATCTCCAAGCCTTACTCCCAAGTCGCCCCTTTTGTCTTAGCTTCTCTTGCTTCTGGCAACTCTGCGCATACGCGCATTGGGAACAGGCTCCCTTTGTTCCTCTGCCTCACTGCTGCCAGATTCTGGAGGCTCCGGAGTCAGCACATAACTCCCAGATGGTCCTAGCCCAGTGATGGTTAACCTTTTCAGCTTGGTGTGTCGAAAATCGGGGAAAAGTGTAGCCTTCCTCGGGTCGTGTGTCACTTCAAGAAATATCAATAATTTGGTTTATGACGGACTGGGCTGGGGTGATCACACAGGGCTGTGAAACTCGTCTCCCTGGTCTCAGGGCTGCAGGTGTAGGATGTGGGGATCGGAAGGCCACCTTACAGGGCTGTGAACCTCATGGATCTCCTTTCCTCCTGTAGCGTTCCTGAGGTAATGAAACTGACAAACCTCAGTTTATGGCGGTTAAAACTGGTTCTCTGCTGCAAAGATCTCGCGGCAGCGGTGACACCACGCCTCCACGCAACAAGCAGGGAGCAGGGATTGGAGCAGAGCACAGGCAGCCTCTAAATGTGCAGGTTTTCCCCACACCAACAGGCGTGTCAGTCAAAGTGCCTCGGCGTGTCACGAGTGACACACGTGTCATAGGTTAGCCATCACTGTCCTAGCCGCATCTCTGCATCGGACACAGGACCCTCATCTGAGTCCTCCCTAGAATCCTAGACTGGTCCCTGTTCTTCCCCACTGTCCGATTCTGCTGCCATCTGCACAGGCTGCCGGCGAACCACAACACTGACAAGCAAAGTCAATGGGGAAGCCAGATTCATTTAACAACCGTGGTACTAACTTAACAACTGCAGGGATTCACTCAACAACTGTGACAAGGAAGGTCATAAAATGGAGCAAAACTCTTTTAACAACTGTCTCAGTAGTCGAAATTTTGGGCTCAATTGTGGTTGTAAGTTGAGGACTACCTTTATATGTACTTGTGTTTGTGTACATGAGGTTGATTTTGGTGTAATTGGCCATAGACAGATGGGCCTCAATTTATTTTATAAATGGATATCATATTTTATAGGCATTTCATTCTAATTCATTCTACTTGGGTTTATTATTTTTTTGTCCCTCTCCTTCACGGACAGAAGCATATCCCACCCGCATATTTATTTGGGAGGGTGGGCCTTGCACAGGACTTTTCTCTCTCTCTCTCTCTCTCTTTCTCTCTCTGTCTGCTCTTTCAGAAGTAGTCATCTTAAAATTCAGGGTTGCCTTTCTGTTTCAAAGATATGATATTTCACTATTGATGCCTTTCTGATGTCCTCTCTTCAGGGGGCCATGACTGTTGCTAGGACACCTCTCTCCCACCCTCCCTCCCCTTCCCAGGACTGTGTGATTGACACACAAGCCCTTCTTCCACTTTTCTGTAATGTCAGACTGGCTTGGTACTTGCAAAAGGAGGGAGGAGGGTTTGCATCTGTTACTGCCCCCCTCAGGTGATCTGCTGTACTCAGAACACAATCTCTGAATGGCAGTTTATGGAGAGTCTGGGAAACACCATGCTTAGTAGGTTTTATTCCGACGTTCATATCTAAGTGTACATAGCTTCCTGTTTATAACAAACACCTCCAGAAATCCCCGTTCCATCAGATAAATTGAGGGTTATCTCTACATTCTGTCTCCTAGCATATCCTATAGTCTGGAGACATTATATTCTCAAATGCATTCATCCTCAGAAGGAAATGATAAATTTTCAGGGTAGTTTTAGCTCTCAGCTGAAATGAACCTTTCATTTCCTTGGCTTTTTTTTTTTTTCCTTGGGGGGTGGGGGAGGGTGTTGCTTGCTAGTTGCAGATGTAGCAGCGATAGAGTTGAACGAAGCCAACTAGGTGGCCTTGTGCCCAGATATTCTGTCTCAGCTTTAAGCAGAAGGCAATGGCAAACCACTTTTGAAAAATCTTGCCAAGGGGGGAGGGGGAAACTGCAGGGACTTGTCCAATTAGCTACCAGCAGCCAACATTGAGTTGAAGGCACCCCTCCCTCCAAAGAAACCTCCTGCTTAGAAGCTTTATTTTATTTATTTATATCCCACCTTTATTACTTTTATAAACAACTCAAGGTGGCAAACATACATAATACTCCTATTTTCCTCACAGCAACAAACCTGTGAGGTGGGTTGGGCTGAGAGAGTGTGACTGGCCCAAGGTCACCCAGCCGACTTTCATGCCTAAGACAGAACTAGAATTCACAGTCTCCTGGTTTGTAGCTTGGTGTTTTAACCACTAGACCAGGGGTGTCCAACCTTGGCAACTGTAAGACTTGTGGACTTCAACTCCCAGAATTCCTCAGCCAGCAAAGCTGGCTGAGGAATTCTGGGAGTTGAAGTCCACAAGTCTTAAAGTTGCCAAGGTTGGACACCCCTGCACTAGACCGACTCTCAAATACATTGCAAAGCCATATTGAGGGAAAGAATAAAAAGGAATTTTATAGACCTAAGATCTATTCTATATTATCGGGTGTCACAAATGGAAATGGACCAAGTTTGACGCTATCAGAGTAGGAGAGAGATTTTCATATTTGATTCTGCGTTAGTGAGGGCACCCCAATTGGTTCAGTTACAGTTTTGCTGCAGAGATCACCATGTCAATAAAACCACTTATATTGTACCTTACCAAACTGCAGCCTCCCCCACCCCCATTCTTTAACATGTGTCTATCCCATTCTTTGGCTGCTGCAATTTATATGCATTGATCAGATAGGACATCTAGGAATAATTCTGTGAACTCCAGTGCTAAAATTCTTTCTTCTACATTTCAAACAGAATACCAACAGACTCACTGGTGCTACAACAAACTTTCCAAGCTCTTAAAAATCAAATTACTCAAACTGAGTAACTTTTTTGGGCAGATCACCCTAGTAGACCCTACCCCTACTGGACATGAGATCCAGATATCAATGCAACCTGAATCAAAGACTGATCCACTTATGGCAGTCAAAAGATCTGAGGTACAGGTAATCCTCAACTTACAACCACAATGGAGCTCAAAATTTCTGTTGCTAAATGAGACAGTTGTCAAGTGATTTTTGCCCCAACGACCTTTCTTGACATAACTGTTAAGTGAATCACTGCAATTTTTAGTAACACGGTTATTAAGTGAATCTGGCTTACCCATTGACTTTTGCTGGTCAGAAGGCCACAAAAGCTGACCACATGACCCCAGGACACAAAAGCTGTCATACATATGAGTCAGTTGCCAAGCGCCTGAATTTTGACCATGTGGATGCTGCAACAATCATAAGCATGAAAAATGATCATACGTCACTTTTTTCAGTGCCGCTGTAAATTTGAAGGGTCACTAAATGAACTGTTATGAGGACTATCTGTATTCCCCCCAAAGAAAGATCTCTCTGATCTGAATAAGAGTATAAACTAAGCATTTGGTTTTCATTGTGTGTTGACATTACAGCTGTCCTTGGTGCTATAGACTTCTGAATTGTTCCAAAAGTCAGACATTGAGAATATGACTATGTCACTCCTAGATGTCATAAATCTAGAAAATTTCACCATCAACTCCAAAGCTAGCTCTGACTGAAATTCTGCCAGGCAATAAGAAACGACGTGAAAGTGTTAATTCTTTAATTTATCCTTGATCTATCCTTATAGACCCTAAATCTGATTGTTGCACCGAGTTCAACAAATACCATCCCTGACTTCCCACATCATATTGACAAGCAGTCCTTATGCTTAAAAACAGACAGACCATCCTTTAAAACATATAAGAAAAGTGTCATAGTCCCACCCTTGCAAGACTAGTTGTCTCAGCATGATGTAGAATCACAACATCACAACCATAGTTAAACTGTGTCAGGCTTTTGCTCAGGTGAATATGCATGCAAGATTCTAGTTGTGTAGAATTTTGGAAAATGTATTCAGTCTAGGTTTGGATTCTAACTCCCCCTTTTTCTTTCCCTCACCACCACCCCTCACCTTTCAGGCTTTATCTTCCCTAGCTAAGATCATGAAAGAATGCTGGTTCCAGAGTCCCCCAGCAAGACTCACAGCTCTGAGGATTAAAAAGACACTGAAAAAACTCAGCAACTCCTTCCACAAACCCAAACACTCTCCTAACTTCTAGGAGCAGAAATTGGATTTCTGGCTCCTTGGCTCAAAGGAAGTTCAAGGTCATCCCTTCAAAGTTTCCTGCTGGTCCTGGCCTCTGTCTGTGGCTTCAGTAGACCTCCTTTGAAGCTTGACCAAGAGGTTTTTGGACTAGAGCTCTGTAGCTCAAAGTGACCCTCTGCAAGGAAGTTTCACAGAACAGATGACAGCTTCTGGAATCCTTAATTTGTTCCTCTAGCAACAAAAGGGAGGAGGGGCCTACCCATGTCTTGCAGAATGTACATTAATATAAATACTCCCTGGATCTGTAACCTGACGCCAGTCCGTCTCGCCACCAAAAATCCTGAAAAATGGGAGGGATCCCATTTGCAAAGAACACAGCTGCTATGCCCAAAGGGGTGGCTGCCTTTGAAACGCCAGTTAAGGATCATTTGCAAAGGTAGTGTTTAGATTGAATGTATAAAATCTGTTCGTGCCTCTAGCTGTGTGTGCATGCATGTGCATACATGTGTGCAGAGGAGCCATTTCAAAAGTGCCTACAATGGTTTAAAGGGATAGGCACAACTATGCAAGCCTTTATACTAGACAAATCTGAGACCACTATGGGGATATGACAGTTTTTTCTATCTGTATGTGAACATGGAAAGCTGTCTAGATGGTCAATGTGATATTGCTTTGCTTGTATGTAGTCTTGATTTCTTTTTAAATAAGCCAGAATTTTAGCAGCACAAGGCTTCAAAATGACTTTCCATCCTGTAACCGATCTTAGAACCGGTCCTGACTAGCCCTGTCATATAATCCCCGAACATGGTCAGTAGAAACAGGGTTTAGCAACCATGCTGAATAGAGCTGGCTTTGCTCTCTATGGATGGAAGACAAATGCCGGTAGTGAATGAACACACACACACACACACACACACACACACGTCAGGGAATTGCACAGCAGATGTCCAAATGAAGCCAGAGACACTGACATGAATTTGTAGCTTTATATAAATAAATATACTGTATTTTACATCTATATTTGCAGCAAACAAGATAGTCAGACTAACAGGAGTATCATGAAGTAAATCACAGGGCATACAGGATACACAGAAGAAAAAGGCGGGAAAACAAACTCCCCCTTTACATCCACAGTATTCCATCACAGCATAGATTGCCTCACGCGGGAGCCAGCACTCTCCAACCAATCTACTATAACTGTGTGTTCTGACTTATTGCATGACCACACTGCTCCAGCTATTAAATTTAAATACCTTTGCACACACATATGTGATGCAATTTTTTTCTGCATTTGAGCCCCACAAGAATTAAGGATCACCAACACTATTGTTCCCCCACTGCAGTTTTTCTTAGGAGCCCTCAAAGGTTTTAGGCAATTCAGAACCAAGGTGAATGTCCAGGAGCTGGATTTGCATACAACTACATCAAATGAATTTTGAGAAATTTCAGTATGCAGATGCAATATAAGGCAAAAATCTAACCAAATAAAATGATGGGAATTTCACTCTATTGATTTTAAGATGGGGGTGAGAGGAATGGGTCCTATCTAAAAGATAAGTTGGATCAAACATTACTCTTTCCACCTGATGTTATTGTATTGCATGGATGAGTTACAATAGCTGTAAGCTTCACAAACCCTGTGCACAAATAGAGTCCAATAGTTCCACTAAAACTGAGATGAGTAAGATTGCTTCTTGATATGCTGGATACATCTACAAGTGAACAAATTGCAAAGACCAAGGCCTGTCCTTGTAAAATTACTTTGAATAAAAGGGTGGAAGGTGGAAAAAGTTTTCAACAGTTTAATCAGGCCCAAGAGTGAACTTCTGAATAGCCTATAACAAGATAAGACAAAACATTAAACAGGAAAGCAATGGGGAAGGCCTGTACATTCACAGAGTTGTGCTAACATCTCCAAGGAATTAGCTTTCTATGCCATAGAAATGTATATCAGCATATAATAATATATGCAGGACAGGTGAGTAGAACTGAGTGAAGAACACATAACCTCATTTCATCAAAAGCCTCAAAATTGCTTTGAGATCATTACTAATTTGCACAGAAATTATTTTTGTATTTATTAAACATGCTGGGGGGGTGGGGGGTGGAATAAGCAGCCTTTTGTTGTTGTTTGCAAAAAAAGTTCCAAAATACCTGAGTCCAGACAAAGATTCTCTAATGGGGAGAAGGATGAGAAGCACAAATTAACAAAAGAGAACAAAGAGTTTCAGGGGGGAAAACAACAGTGTTTGTTTTTTTAAAGCTACATCTCCATTCAGAGACCACAAGTCCCATTAGGACTAACAGGAGTCAAGTGTTCTAAATGAACTCCTAGATGGCAAGTAATAATTAAACTATGCCTTTTCTTTCAGCTCATATGAACTAGTTTTAAAAAAGGAGGAAAAATGTATTTGTTGAGGGTTACTGATATGTCCAAACAATCAGCTGAATTGGAATCTGAATCCAGAATTTCCTCTATCAAACACCTGCTTGTTGAAATTTTTTTGACATTTGTCATCATATACTTTAATAAGGCTGATTGAAAATATATCTATGATACTGGGAAGTTAGTCTCATTGATTTTCAGAAAATTGCATGCTTAATGCTTTTTGGCTTTTTAGATGTACATAGTATTTTATGTATAACCTAAAAATGTCAGGAATAAAGCATACAGTAATAAAAAGGGCTTTGAAGATATCATATGCTAATCAGAGGCAGGATTAGGTGCAGGATGCTTGTCAAATGCACGGTTTGTCTTGGGTTCAATCCTGATCTCTTAGATGAAGGTGGGAACGTTAATTCTCTGCAACCAAGAAAGAGCCACTGCTAGTTAATTTGTGGAATACTGAACTAGATAGCTTATGTCCCTAAGAGCTCAACAGCTGCCTGGTTTCATAGCCAATTGCTTGCTGATTGCAAACTGCTGTTTATCCAGGATAGATGAGTATCCAAAATATTGCGGCTGGCTCCATGTTTTTAATAGTCTAGGAAGTTCTGAATTCCATGTAGCACAGGCTGGAATTTTTATCATGTTATTTGCCCTTTAAGAACCCAATCAATTTTCCAGCTTTGAAAATGGATGTTGGACAAAGCTGCAAAATAGCACATTGATAAGCTAAGGAAACACTATGTTAGATGCATCTGCTATTCCAAACCATCATCTCAGCTTATTTGCTAGCAAAATGGTGCCCCCACAGCCCTCCAATTGGCACAGAAGCTGAGCTGTATATTTATTTTAATCAGAAGCTTGCCCATGTGAATCAGTAACATATGTAGTAACAAGTCTATATATCCAAACAGCTCTGATCAAAAGTAATTAAGCATAAATCATTCCATGTGCTGGAAAGAAGCCCTCATGTGTAGACTCTAAACTCAGGGACAAGTCTCAATCTAAGCTAAATCTGGATTTGATTTTTTTTAAAACCCTCTGGTCTCCATAGCCACTGACACTGATAGCAGAAATGTGCAAGTTTGCAGGAAGAAAAATCTAGGTTAACTAGGCAGACAGGTACAATTTAGCATGAGGATCACATCATGTATGTTTCTCTCATGCTTACGGGATCATAATTAGGAGCCATAATTTCTCCTTAGAGAATAGATGGCTTTTTTTCCTCAGCATTTATTCAGAAATTCCTGTTTTCTCTGCATGCCTATCCTGACACCTGACTGTTGAAGGGCCAATGGATATACACTGCCAAAGTGCTGTCAATATTGTTCATATAGTTTCTCACTGTTTACATTCTCTCTTCACACTGTAAATATTAGATAACACTGAAAATAATTAGGCATTCATAGTTAGATTTACAACTCAACTGTGAATGAGCCCGGTGCACAACTCTTATACAACGTCCATAATTTCCCAGTGAATATGTGAAGTTTTGGCATTCATGTAACGTACGCACTTGTGTCTCTGTTCAGATGCTGATTAATATTGAAAGAAAGACAGATGGAGCCTTACAGCTGATAATACACCAATAGTTGTTCTAGTCTTGCGTAACTACATTAACACAAGATATAACTTTAGTTCAGGGTCAGACAAAGTGGTACCCCCCCCCAAGCCCTCTGTTCCACCTGATTTTTATGCTTTTTTAAATTTAAAAAAATATTAGAGAATAGGAAACAGGCATGCTGCAATGCAAAGCAAAATGCTCTAGCACCATATTAATTTGGAGCAATGCCTTTGGGTCCCATAAAGGCCCACTGGGAGAGTAGAAAGCACACTGGGGATGGGGAGTTTGTTCTCTGGCTAAATGGGCATTTGGGGGACCGCCCTTGCTCATTGCAGCAGCCTTTATCGAAACAGGCAAGTCGGACTGGGGGCCCTCTGGGGAGTAACGCTCATCATGTGCTCTCAACATTATGAATGCGCCCCAAGGCGGAGTCCAGCTCCCTACTTGGTTAAGGGAACCTCGGTCTGTCTGAAGCCCCTGAGCAGAGAAAGCCCATACACAGTGGTTTCATTGTCTCCCTGCAGGGAACCTTGCCAAGGGCCCTGTCATACTTCTCGTGCAAACTTTGATCTTCCAGCATTTGTGTACCCCGAATGATTTCAGTGATAGTTGGCTGTTCTTTTATGGGCCTTTTCAGCCTTCCAATAAACTTCTGGTTTTCCTTAATCCAGTAAAGCTGTAATTGCATTTGCTTGGGAATAAATCTCCTTGAACTCCGCAACCCTAACCCTGAGAAAACGAACAGGCTGTAAACCCACTCCGAGATATGATATGACTGCTGCCTGTTTTATTAAAAATCTTTTCTGTTCAGCTTTGAGTTTAAAGGGGCAAATAGACTTACTTATCAAGAACAAATCCCACCACTATAACTAGTGCTCACATTTGAGTTGACAGGGATAAGACTGTCCTCTAATTTATGGATACTTTGTTGTTCCATACAAAAAGCTGCGGGGATTTATATCCCTCCCCCCCACCCTTTTTATTTCCTATAATAAAATCTGGAAGAAACTGTGAAATCCTAAGATGAAAAATAAAGATGAGGCATCAGGAAAGAAACCTGTTACTGTGGCAATGCTGAACACTTTTGTAATTAGCACTAGCAGAAAAAATGAAGAAGCAATATGGAGGTCTCATTACTAATGAGCTATGATGATGCTTTTTTTCTAAACTAGCCCCAGCTTTCCCTACCTTGCCTTATCTTCACTTCTAAAACTAGAAACTTATAGAATGACATTGGCCTTTACAACACAAGCTCTATTGTTTTGTTTTAGAATGCAAGAAAGTAGTGGGACTCTAATTGCTACAAACTTTAAATCCTAGTGATTGCTATCCAATCAAATGGTGAGGATGCTGGCAGCTTCAATTCAGCAACATCTGGATGGCTCCACTTTGCTCTATTATTATTAATAGACATAGTCTAAATGTGCTATTTAATTTACAGGATAGGCCTTTTCTGATGCAGCATGAGTATTTACAGATTTTATGGGAAGGGAATAAATAATATGTACTGCATGTACGTTTTGATTAAGAAAAAAATATGGCTTGAAGGCCATATTCAAGAGCAGATTCCATTTTGATTAAGTAGATCAACTCTTCCAGCCACTGGAAATCAATCTCATTGTTTAAACAAGACTATAGTACAGACACAAAATATCCTGCTTGACCCAAGCTTTTATCAGCCAAACTACTACACTTAGAATTCCAGGAGTTTCCTGTTGATAGCAGCAACAAATTCAACCCCTCCATTTTTTTAAAAAGAAATCAACCGAGGCAGAGATGAAAGAAGCACATAGGCCAAAGATTTTTTTGAAATGACTCTGGTATAAATCTATGATAAAAATCTGAATGTGCAATTACATTTCCTGGAATATGTTATTTCCCCACTTCTTTCTCACTGATTCCAGTAATATTGCAAAATATTATAGTGTACATGAACTGAAAGTGACCTATTAGATAATTGTTAGACTTAAAAGCCCTTTACCAAGGAAATATGCTGCGTGCTTTGGCTTGTTAACAAGGAGGGCAACAAGGACCATCCCAATGATAAAACTGTCAAAATCCCTCTCTCACATCTCTTGTTCAAGAGAACAGACATTATCATTAGACAATTAAAAGTGGCCTTGGGAGTTCAATTCAACTGAGCAATACAATACATAAATACATGGATCTGAGAAGTTCCAAATTATTCCCAGGCCAAACGCATTTGCTAAGTTGCTTTCTAAGCCTGGGCAGTCTGCAATTCCCAGAATTCCCAGGCAGCATAGCTATTGTTGAAAATTTAAGAGGTGAAGATTACATGCCAGTATCTGGAGTGGAAATTGATACCTCCCACTGTCAAAGTGTCACCTCTCTCTCAAAGTCACATCACTGTATGCAAAAGCACATGTAGGCTGCTAGCAACAACTATCTTCTAGAAGTGTCATCCCCAAACCTGGGGCACTCCAGAAACATTAGACTCTGCCTGAACTTCATATGTACCATGACAACTGGAAATTATAACAACTGAAGTCCATCACATCTGCAGGTAATTGTTGGGAAAAGCAAGGTAAATTAGATATTTTCTCTATCAAGATAGAAACTCTATTAGTTTCTCAAACAGAAAAGAAACTGAGACAGGAGATGATTAAACCTGATCACTAAAGTAATATTACTGTTTGATATAGTCCTTTACAAGTCTATTTACTAGTTGGTCCCCATGACTTGGGTGGAGATTTCTCCTGGACTAAGGATAGATAAAAAGTGCAGTTGGAAACTGAGCTTGGGAATTATTCACATGTATCTTTCTAGTAGCATTTGATCTTGTGGAAGCTTGTTGCCACATTTAGAATTTTGAAGATATGTCATCAGTCTATTTACAAAATGATTTTTTGTACGATGGTTGCTCACAAAATTGTTACCTCAACTTATATTTTGGCTGGCACTCAACACTTGTATTGTTTAAGAGTGCTAATGTGGTGCCCACTTGAATTCCAGAGGCATCCTTGGCAATAGAAATAATCCTGGAGACCAACATACTACCTGACTATATCATTCAGGAAGACCTGAAGGCACATCAGTACTAGGCTCTATATTCTGTTAAATGTTTTCGTAACTGGGGCCACGTTTTTTGTCCAAGGCAATAGAACAAGAAATATATACAATTAGATGCACTTAGATACCCTTAGGATTTGCAATGATGTCAAACTTCTCCAAATTCTACTGATCCAGAACCCAATTTAGAATCCTCAATGGCTCTCGTGTCCCTTCTTGCATCTGCTGAAGGAGCAAGAGCTCCCAATTTTCCATCTTATTTTCCCCTCTGCACATGGATTAGAGAACAAACGAGAGTATATAATATCACCAAGAGAGTAAAAGAATTGAAATAAAAATGGGTTGGTCACATAGCAAGAAGGCAGGTGGCAGGTGGACCAAGGCAGTCAAAGAATGGATCCCATTTGATTACAAAGTGTCCACAAAAGAGATCTAAAACAAGATGGATCAATAACATCAGTACTGCGGGCCCAATTGGCAAAAGAAAGCTCAGGACCATATAGGTTGGAAACATGCGGAAGAAGCTTTCATACTGCAGTGGATAGAATGATGACGGTGGTGGTGGTGGTGGTGATGATGATGAGAATTACATCAAAACTCCCGATACTAAGCCAGAGATGAGAAATCACAACCAACAAGGAAGGATGTTGGATTGTTTCTCAACGTGCTAGCTCTTCTGAAGGAAATAGGTCCAGGGTGAATGATGCATTTGCTTAAATAGGGAAGCCTGAATTGAATAGGTGAAAAAGAAGTTTCTCCACATATTAATTTGTAAATCTTAAACCAGTATAAGTCTAAGATAATAGTCAATTTGAAAAGGTAGGGGTGTGTGTGTGTGTGTGTGACCTGGGATCCTCTGACATCAGCACATATTCGTTTGAAAGGCTAGCCTCTCATAGTGCTTGTGTTTAAACTTCACGCTATGGCACAAAGCAACATGATTTGTTTTCTTTTGGATCCATGTGCTTATATGAATCCAAATGCATCTTATACGATAAGCAAACACTGAAATAGCAAAACACGTAAACTGTCTAAATTGACTTCTCACTTACAGAACAAGCTGTTTTCCTAAAAAAAAAAAGATGGAGGGGAGGGTAAGAGACCTGGTTGATGTGATTATTTGAAATATTTTCCCCAAATTCTCTGGTCTTTCTTCACATAGCATGCTTCTTTTTCAGGCATCCCTGGTCTGCAACCCCAGAACATCTCCTGGCAAGAGTCATACAGCTAGACAGGCTCTCTGACTTAAGCGTTGGGGCTCTGGTGTAACTCTGTCCAAATGCACGCTGACTACAAATTCCACAAGTGAATCATGAGCTGAGCTTTCAGAAAGAATTTAAGATAGGGATTTTCTAGAAGGCAACTGCTCCAACAGCACATCTGCTTCCCAAGGGACCAGCAGTAGCACAATATATAGAAATTAACGTGGAACTCCAGGTCTCAAAAACAGAGCAAATGCATTTTCAGGGCTAACCCATATGGATATATATGCATTTCTGAGGAGCCCCCAGTATGGCTTGAAAGGACTCAAAGACCCAGGAGCTCTTCCCAGTTTACCCTCCTGACTTTAGCACAACTCCCTGATCAGTTCAAATGTTGAGTATCTGAAAATAGCTCTTCAGAGTTAGGGATATCCAATGTCATTGTGTCTGCATTTTACACACCATCAACTGTTCATGAAGCACTAAACCACTGGCTTCTGAATCCCACTAACACTATTTTAATTTTATGGTGATTCTAATTTTATTTGAAATGAAATTATTTTCAAGCCCATAAATTAATGGTAAGAAAATTTATTTACACAAACAGTGTCTTTATCAATTAACATATCAGTTAACATAGAGACAACAATTACATGCTACCTTGGATACATTTAAACACATGACAAACTACCTATTTTTTGCAAAAATTACACATATATAGCATCCTATCTTTTTCTTTTGCATGTAACAAGAGCCTGATATTCTGCATTGAGGTTTATACACCATGCTAAATTGTGGTTTACTTTAACAATTGCTTATTAAATAAACTACAGTGACTGAATTCATTCATTAGACTTAACAAATAATTCCAACAGAAGAGTGTGTATATGTAGCTCAGGATTGAACTGCGGAGTTCTTGGTGCTCTCTGAGTTTGGTTGTTTGCTTACAGACATTGTATTAAACAAGGAATAAACTCCACACTCACTAACACTGATGATGTTATCTCGTCAGGTAATGAAACATCTGCAAGCACATAGCCAAGCTCAAAAAAGCACTAAGGACTCCACAAAAACAAATGAAGTTTATGGCTCAGCTCCATGGTGATCCCAGCCTATTTCTATAAGCAAACACAATTTTTTTCCCCTGTAGTTGAATTCAAATGCAACCATAAAACAGAACCAAATCATCTATCAAATACAATAATAAATATGTTTGCTGGACGTTTCAATTTTTGGTTAACATTTTCCTATCCAGGGAGTGCAGTATTTCATTATTTCTTGACTCCTATCTAGTGCATGCAATATTTCAATATTTCCTGATCCAAAACACAAAGTTCTTCACACATGCCTTACCACGTTTTTTAGTCATATGCCAAACAGTAACAATTTGTACATGCGAATAA